GCTAAAAGATTTTTTTTGTAATGCTTCTTCTTCGGCAGAAATTACCAGTGTCGACGAAATATTGATTAAGCGATTTCACATAATTTTTCAGGTGTTGACATCGGGTGTTACGGAAACGGCAAAAATATACATTAAAAATTATGACTGGTATTACATGCCATCTTCCGTACATAAAATATTAATTCATGGTGAACGTATCATACGACATTTTGCAATTTTACCTATTGGACAGCTATCAGAAGATGCACAGGAATCTCGAAATAATGATTACAAAAAATTTAGACTACATCATGCACGAAAATGTTCTAGATATGCTACAAACGAAGATGTATTTTATATACTCCTTTATACATCAGATCCATACATAACGAATATTACAAATCAGTGCATTAAAAATGTAAAGAAACTTGACGAAGAAACCCTAGCTCTTTTAACACAGCATCACCTGGTTTCTGAAAATTAAATTGAATAAGTTGAACAGTGTCAGGCAATGATGGAATATTGAACGAGTTAAACAATATTATACATATATTATACATTGTATTATAATATTTATATCTCAGATAGATTGTAATCAGTTAGGGTTTTTTTCAATAATAATATTACTCTGTAATATCAATAATATTCATAAAAAAATTAATAAAATGATTAATAAGTGATTTGTTAAGTAAAATACTACTTCCGGTTTCATGATTTCAATGTAATTTTTTATCTATATATTTTTCAGATATAAAGGCTTATAAAAAATTTTAATAATTTATTTTACTTAGTACCAGCTTATATGAAACAAATGAGTACAGGTTCAGGTAAAGTACTACTTCCGGTTATGTGAGATGGTAGAAATTTTGTATCTGAAAGTTACTTATTCTTATTCAGATTTCTACAAAATTTTTTAACTATTTCTAAATCTGTTAAAGTAAACTGCTACTTCCGGTCGACAGATTTGTTCCAAAAGTTGGTAGAGATCAACAGTCTTAATTTAATAGCCGCATACCAAATTTCATGGAAGTAGATAATTGCGTCTTTGAGTTATCGTGTTTACGAACGCACGTATATAATACATACTATATACTAACAGATACATATGTACAGATGTAATGCTAAAATGGTCAAAATAGGTTCTAGGACCATCAAATGTAAAGATTCATCACAACCTCGAAACGGTAGTTTGGGACAGAAGTTGTCTTCATATAGTTCGTATATACGAGGAAATAAAAATAATAATAAATAATAAAAAATAATAAAAAGAAAATTGGTACTCTTACTTCCTGTAATGTAGAATATTCTTACCAAGTTTGAAAGGTTTATCTTTAAAAATAAAAAAGTTATTGATTTTTGATCAGCAAACGGACTAAATTTTCCATAGTGCGCCGGCACGCCAACACCGCCCTTTCTTTGTCTAAGATATGACCAAAATTGTTTAGCGTCAGCAGCAACAGAGTCCTGAACATGAACCATATAATCTTTGTGATCACGCGCTATAAGACATTTAGAACGATGTCTCAGCATTGAAAAGGTGCGGTAGTCAAGTTGATTTTTGTATCGTTTCCACCTTCTATATACATTCCTTTTCTCACGTAATGTGTTAATTGTGTCCCGAGAGAACCAGGCGAGATAACCAGTAACCCGTAATCCCCTACGCGGAACATATCTGTCTATAACGTCATAGACATAAGAATAAAAGGTATCTACTACAGCGTCAACCGAACCGTCGTCCAAAATTTTAGACCACTTTAAACTGTCGTGGTAACCATTGATTTCGTCATAAGAAGCTCTAGAGAAATTGTAAGCAACGCCAGAGCGCGAATTAAGGTTGTTCTCTCGGGGCACATCACAACAGAATTTAAGAGTGGAGTGAGCAGTATTCTCGAACATCAGAGGATTATCACATCTTTCGAGCTGGGTTAACATTACGAGGCGACTAAACACCAGATCGTGCGTATGCCCATAAGGATTTATAAAATGGTTATGTTGATCCAACTCACCCAATGACACAGCATCTAAAATATTCACGGTCCGAGACCCACTGCAGTGAGGAACAAGAAAAATCTAAGAATCATCTCTACTCCAGCGAATCTCGGGTAAGTTGAAATCGCCACAGATAATGAATTTATCATTACGATGCTGATCAATAATATTCATCAAATTATCTGAAAAAGCAGACAAAGCAGCAGCGTCATTGGGCGCAATATAGATACAACAAACATGCAACTTAGCCACGCCGAAGTGCAGCGTCACGCAAACCGCCTCCACCCCCGGAAACCAATCACATGATTCGAAACTATAAAGTGAGCTCGAAACGCCTATGAGTACTCCGCCACCTCGAGTAGTGGAATCGACAGTAGCAGATACTCGGTCACGTCTATAAACCGTGTACGAACTTGGGAGAGTTTCGGCCGAAAAAATACCGGGGTGGAGCCAAGTTTCCGTTAAGCAAATTACATCGAAATCGGAATTTAATGCGTTATTGTATAAAATCGGCAACCTNCTGAAGAAGGTTACAACATGGCATCCGAAACGTCAAACCTTTTCTTAAAAGACGCACGGCAAAACCCGAAAGTTTCTAGTTTTAGTTCTAGTTTTAGTTCAATTAACACCGGCCGTGAAAGCGTTCGTATTTATATTTCTTACCCACTTTGCAGATAAGAATTTTTTCCCAAATCTCTAGGCCTTACCATTGTTGAGATATAGTCGCTCCGCACCCTTAACGGGACACCCGGTATTTTAAGAGAATATTCAAACCAGGGTAAATTCAGTAGTAGCCACGGTTAAACAAACAAAAATATTAAGTTTTGTTGAAACAAGAAAGCTAGTTATGAATTTACTAGCAAATTTAAACAGCCTAAAATCATTATAAATCATGTAATATCATAATTAATTTAAAATAACTTTTAAATTACATTACCTGAATATCTCTTGATGATATACGATAACAGGTCGAAATTTTTTAAAATTTCGTTTTCTATTCTTTGTTAAAGTTATATTATCAATCACCTCCTTTAGGATTTCAATACGTGCAATCAATAATTCTGTCGCATAATACATGAGTACCAGCGCAACGAATGTGACATGTATTGTAATAAACAAAGAATATACTTGAAGTAACATCATCATCATTATATACCAACGGTTCGATTCAGGAACGTAATATTCAAAGATCATGCAATATTTTGAATTTTTAAAGTGAGCACAATCATCCTCAAGCAAAATAGAGAATGTGATAAAATATGCGAACAAAAATGCCCCGTAACGAACTATTTTCAATAAACTTTTTATATTTTTATCCAAAATTTCAACCCTTTTTGAAACACCAAATTCCCCGAAATCGCTCCACAGTTTCCTCATTTCGGATAAACGATCTTGATTCCGCAATAGTTGAATATTCGTAGACACAAGAAGTAATGCACATATAGTGAATTCGAGGTGAAATAAAATTTTTGCAAAATACATTTTGTAATCTAAAATTATTAAAAAGGAAGAAAATATATTTTTCCTTAGAAATATTAGTACCTTTAATTTCTAATAAAGAGGGATATGTTAATAAAATAACGTTTATAACCATCAAAACTGTTGGCGTTAATCCCCGAAATCCGTGCGAAATGGGCCAACAGCGACATTTTCGCATATAGTTTTCTATGTAATAAAAACCAAGTAGTTGTTTCCACATTTTATTACTGCACAATTGAAGCAATTCGATAGAACTAAATTGAAAACCACGTAACTGACGTCCACGTATGCCGTATAAAAAATTTAAACAAATGGATTTAAAATTAATGCCTTTTCTGTTTGAGTGAAAACGTGTGGGTTCGTGAATGTAAGAATCATCAGTTGTATTTGTTCAAATAATAAAAATATTATATGATAAATATTAAATAGATTATAAAAGTCCTTCACAACTTACATCTCTTCTGGATGTTCTAGGTAACTTGTATACATTAATGTGCCATAAATAATTATTTATCTCCGACTGCTTGGAAAAGTCATCATTACCGCACTCATTTGAGGTGATTTGAGTTACGTAATGAAGTTCATTACCGCACTGGTTTCATTCCGTAACGCATTTTTAACCTAATCAGAACAGACTTAATTTATTGAAACGAGCAACAATATAAAAGAAAAAGTGTTATCTACTTACAAAGAAACAATACTATTTATTATAAACATTAATTGTTATATTTTTACATTTTCAAACACTTACTCCAGATGAGTAAACATGTTGTTGAAACTGACAATTAAAAATTGTCAACAATCATTTCAAAATATTTTTATAAATGTCAAATAGACTTTTCTAAAGAAATTGATTTTTTAGTAATTTTTAGCAGTCGTAGATAAAATGCTGTATACTCGTGTGATTACACGACTCGGTCTACGACCTCGTCGTGCAATTCTCCTCGCTCGTACTGTAATTATGTTTCTAGCCCACTTGTAATATAAATAACTATTATTTTCCATAAACATTATTTTTATGATTATTTAAACCCAAATTTGCATCTTTGATTGTTATCGATATTCGTGGAGATAATGTCAACTGAGTAAGACGTGCTTGTGTCTTACTCAGGTGTACATTAGTTGAGTTTTGTTATATTATGGCTGGTAAAACGCGTTCAACGGCCTTGTCTGTATCAGACAAAGATGATTTTGTTAAATCGTGCATTNTCGGAGTAATCGGCAGTTTAACCTGTTAATATTCAAATTACATAAATTATTATTGTTACATAAAACGCAAATTAAGCGGTTTTTATTAAATCACTAAGGTTAAGTAAAGTTCAATGCACTGTGGCAATCAGCGCGCAGCTGCAATAACGCTGACTAATAGACTTATTGGTACAATAGGTTATTTGCGAACGTCCCCGCACCCCGGAGTAAAGGACTCCCCCCCCCACTACCCACTCCACCCTACAGGATGTCATCCATCTCCTCTTTCTCCACTAATACTATAACCCCCTGTAAATTTAAAAGAATAATGTATTATTAGTGGCTGCAATTCTTTATCGGACCAATCGCTTTTTATCAGTATAATTTGAACAGAAGTCGATCATTTAAACCGAAGCAGATATCTACTATCAAACAGGTCTGTTTTAATTGATCTGTTTCATCCAGCCAACCGCTTTTATCGGTTGTAACACCGATACTTTGTTCATGATCCGTTTGAAGATTTTTTAGTACGATTGCATCCTTTAAAAATACTTTCCATTGCTTTCGAAATATCTTTACCTGATATATAGTATTGCTTTTGAACTTTAAGTTCAATTAAGTTGCACTAATGAAAGGATTATATAATCGGTTTATACAATAAAAAATTTATTTGTTTTATTATGATTTTTATTTTAACTATTTCTATTTTTTAAAAAATTTTTCATTTCACATTGTTCATCATCATTTACCACTATTTGAGTACAACAAGCTTGAAAGCCATCATCGTCATCCGGAAACGTGACTACTTTCCTCTTTTTAGTACTGTCTTGCTCTTCTTCTCGATCAGCATCATCATCATCATCATTATCATCATCATCAACATCATTCAAATTAATTGCAACCATTCCTTTTTGTGATGATGATGATGATGATGATGATGGTGGTGGTTGTCTCTTGAGATTTTTTCGATGACTTTCAATTTGGGGGGATTGCTCATCCCCATCAACACTTAAATCAAAAACATATTTATGCATCACCGATGCCAACATCTGTACTTCCGTTTCATTTTCAACTCCCAGCCTCATATATTGCACTGGGAGGTTTCCGAACTTCCTCTTCAGCGTCTCATTTTTGGGTGTATACATTAGTGCGATGATCACGCAATTCCCCCTTGTTGCAACGCTTTTTAAACCATACCTAATTCAGAATTATTAATAAAGGAAAAAAAAGAAAAAGGAACTTACCGGGAGAACAGGTGTTTGCACACTACATGTAATGTTTTTACTGGCACATTCATTATGTCAGTACTGCTAACCAGCAAAGTGCATGGTGGTGTAGACATTCTTTCTTTTGCTATAAAATTGAACTGTTGAAGGCTAAGTGCAGGTATGCTAATCGAACCGATTGAGAGACATTTATACGTTGAATAATTTGCTAATTAAGCATAAATGTATATATAAAGAGAATTGTCAATTTATGATTTTAAAAAGTGCTGATTATCATGGTTTAATAATAAAATTCAAATCCATTTCGAATGGTTAAGATGTAATTGTCATGGATTAAATTGGAATCGTGATCCGGATAACGAACACAACTTTCGGCTTATCGAAGCTTATGAAATAAAATAATTATGTTATTAAACTTTTAATTTTTTTACTTTTAAATTTCTATTTATCTGTATTTATCGGTTGACGCAAAACGCTAATTAGGAATATTTCAAAAATAATACAATTTACCAATTAACCCAATTTAAATAATATATTTAAACATTTTAAAATTATCGAAGCTTATGAAATAAAATAATGATGTTATTAAACTTTTAATTTTTTTACTTTTAAATTTCTATTTATCTGTATTTATCGGTTGACGTAAAACGCTAATTAGGAATATTTCAAAAATAATACAATTTACCAATTAACCCAATTTAAATAATATATTTAAACATTTTAAAATAAAAACTACAATGAAAATAATACAAATTATAAAATTGTTTTAATACCTTTTCATTAAAGGATTTATCCCACCTGCAAAATTCATGAAGTCATTCCATTAAGTAATAATAATTTATTTCAGATAAATTGCGCAAACAAAATTCTCAAATTAAATTTAACTTATCCTTTGAAAATTTTGTGTTCATAATAAAATATAAATTACCCAATACTTTTAATTTGCATGAAATTAAAGGTTCCTTAGATAAAATATCTCGCATAAAAAAATGAAAAAATGTATTCTTAAAGTTTCTAGAAATAATTGATATTATTGCTATATAAAATGCAAATTAAATAGTTTTTATTAAACCGCCGAGGTTCGGCAAAGGTCGATGCACCACGCCAGCGGAAGTGTAAAGTTACATGATGGTTACAATAATGCTGAGCGATAGAATTATTGACGCCAAAGGAAATACATACAGATAAATAGAAATTTAAAACGCTAATTAGGAATATTTCGGAAATAATACAATTTACCAATCAACCCAATTTAAATAATATATTTAAACATTTTAAAATAAAAGCTACAATGAAAATAATACAAATTATAAAATTGTTTTAATACCTGTTCATTAAAGGATTTAGCCCACCTGTAAAATTCATGAAGTCATTCCCGTATATTCCATTAGTTCCTTAGATAAGATATCTCGCGTAAATTGCAAACCAACATGAAAATGGAAAAATTGTTATATAATTTTGTTTTTTCTTAACATCTGCTACTTTTTAAAGAGTTTCGTTTCCACCGTTGATTCCGACTTCAATAAATTTGAAAACGTGTACGGGGTCCGGATGCACCTCAAGTTTTTATCTCTAAATTAATTGTTAATTCCTCCTCAACGCCCACAGTAATTCTAAAGAATTTCGTTTGCTAACGATATAATTCAATCGGAAAACGATCAGTTTTTATCGACAATTATTTTGTTATTAAAGAAATACGATTTTTTTGAATTATCTGTTTTTATGAGATCATATTCGAGGCCAAAAATGATCAATTTTCCCGTCTCAAAATTTATTTTGGTTTGAGTAGAATCTAAAAAGCCTCTACCTAAAATACCGTCTGCTTCAAAAGTGAGTTCTGGATCAGCTATTATCGCGTTAAAATAAAATTGCTTTGAACCAATTTTGACATCAATTTCCGCCGTGTCTAATAAAGGTAATAAGTGACTTGTAGCACCCACGAAAGCTGTTCCTTGTAAAGAATGCATGGAAATTAGATTTAGATCAATTTTTGAACTATCTAAGATTGTGACAGGTACGTCCAGGGGATGTTCCCAGTTTTTTAGGAATCGTTCCCCGATTCTCATTGTGGACATTTTTATTCCAATTAACATTTGTATGTTGTGAAGTATTTTGATTATAAGGTAACCGATTGAAATTTTTCTCATTGTTATTGAAAGACCTTCTACCACTATCTCTAAGTTTTTCTTGCCGTTTAAAACAATTTTTCTCGAAATGATCTTCTTTACCGCAGTAATTACATTTTACTCTATCTTTTGGTCGTGCTCTACACTGAGCAATTTTATGACCTTCTTTTTACAATAAAAACAAACAATATCTGACATATTTTTAACCTTTTAGTTTAAATTTTACCTCATTTACATTAAATCTTTTATAACGAGATATCAACTCTAATTGACTACTTTCGTTTTAGCCCTCTCCTAAATTGCCTAACTATCATATCATTAATTGCTGCTAATCTGCCTATTTTCTGATCGGAAGGACAATTATTGCATTCCTCTGCAATGAATTCCTCACCACAAATTCTCAACCTTTTTGCGAATCTACAAACTGGTTCATTGTGTAACTGAAAACAATTAGTTAGTCTATCCTCTGATCTTCCTAACGATTTTTTCGTTGTATACCTTTTAACTAGTAACTCTTTAAAGTCATCATAGTTTAACGAATTAAAGTCAGGATCTGATTTAAAATATCTGTAAGCTTCACCCGCTAATCTAAATTTTACAATTGTTAACGTTTGTTCCGTTGTCCAATTATCTAGTTTAGCCCTAAGTTCTATTTTGTCAAAGTATTCTGAAACATTTTTACCACTGTGTTAGAACTTATGATAGCTAAGTTCCGTTTTAGGGTTGGTGATTGAAACAACTGGTATAACTAAATATATTTATTGTTGTGAGGCTTCCCAACAGTGCTTTCGTTTTTACCACTTATATGTGCTTATATGTTCTAAATTAACATTATTCTATCGAACTTGCATTTCCCAACCAATGGTATCATCATTTTCAACCAATCAGAATTTAATTACGCGATATTTAATTAATTAATACGCGATTTAATTGACCCAATAAAACGCACTTGGCAATAAGTCCAAGATTGCTGACAAAGTAGAAAAATCGATAATCAATCAAATAAATGTTATTCTTTGCGAAATACAAGTTCTTGGTAACGCAACGCGACTTCTTGATCGGCACTTTTACCGATTTACCAAATTTTAAATAAAAATATATAAATTTTTTTTTTGTATAAATTAAAACTTCGTTTTTTGTACTTTAATGGATTTTATTTATTGTTTTTTCTCAAGCGGTTTCGCTATATTTACATAGCATCTTCAGGAGAGTTACGTCAATTTGTTACAAAAATATACTTTAGCTTGATTCATTTGGTAATTCCTTGTTTATTTCTATTGTTAAACTATATAGATGATATTTATTAAGTATGATTGAAGAGGATTAAAATTGTTTAGATACGTGATGTGTCATGGAATTCGTTGTCAAAGTTAATTTTCTATATGTCAAATTAACTTTGACATACATATAG